AATCCATATGGCCGAAACTTGTAAACACTTTTGGATGATATACATGAGATTTCTCTTCTTAGAATTCTCCCCCTCCGAAAGTCACCTTATCCTATCTCTACCCTACTTGAGCTCCTCTCTTTGTAGAGCTAGGATATCTCTCCTTCTTCCGGACTTAGCTAGAGCAAGCCTAGGTCACATTGGTGCTTCTTAGAGTCATCTTCCTTGACCTCTTTCCAAGGAATCCGAGAAGCATTGAAGGAATACTTGAGGTTTGCAAGTGGAATCTCACCAAGTGGTATCAAGAGCTTCGGTCTTCAAGAGATAAGTTCATCATCTTGTCTTTTGAATTTTGATCCGTGGTTCATCTTGTTCTTGTGTCATCTTGTTCATCTTGTTCTTGTGTTCATCTTGTGTTCTTGTCACTTTAGAGTTTAATCTTTCCTAGATCTAATTTTTGCCTTAAAATTTGATGGATCTAGTACCATGTTGCTTGAATGATTCATTTATGCGTTTATGACTATTTGCTTCCATGAATCATGCTCCAATTCTTTTGCCTATTAGGAATTTTCTACCTATGAGCTTTTTGATTTGCTTGAGTCTTAATTGAAATTTTATTCGGTCATTATATGTTTGAGTTCATTTTATTTTAAATCTATGTCTAGTAGTAATGTGTAGTTCTTGTCTTGTTCATCATTCCTAGCTATGCTTGTTTGAACCTTTTTGATTTTAATTGCATTTTGAAATATTTTCTGGATTTGGCCGAGATCCTTAGTCTTTTGGTATGCTCATAATTTTTGTTTGAATTTGAGTTCATAAACTACTATTAGTTCATTAGTAGTTTTCTTAGAATTTTTAGGTTTCCTATACTAGAAAATGTCTTGAAATTTTTTTCTCCTTATCCGTGAGTTTGATCTTGTGTGATTTGTTGTTTGCTGAAAATTGTGTTTAAGATTCATTTTGAATTTTGAATTTGGAGCCAAAACCGTGCATGTGCTAAACAAACAAGCAAGCATCAAAAGCATGTTGCATTTCCATTACATTTTAACCTAATTGCTTGTCATTTGCACTTCAAATTTGAATATGGTTTTGTGCCTAATTCTAAGTGTGACCGAGAGTGGTGTTTGCATATTGTGTAAAGAGAAAAAGGCAATCTCCTAAGATTAAAAAAAAAATAGAACAAAGTTTCAAAGAAAAATACAAAAGCAAAGTGATTAAAAAAAAATAGAAGTATTAGTGACGGATTTAGAGACGAACTTTTCCTTACTAACTTGAAATTTTGTTGCAAAATTG